CGGGGCAGGGGGGGCCCCGAGGGCCGGGGAGCTGCGCCCAGGCACGGGGTAGGGGGTTTGCAAGGGCAGAGCTGATGCTCCCATGTCCCGGATCCTGCAAACCCTTACAGCACCCACAGCCCTGCCCCCCCGCTCAGTGTATTTGCCAGCCCTTTGGCCGATGCCAGAATCCACCCAACTGCCCGCGGGCAACCACTACGGGGGCAGTTCTCTCTGTACCCCCACCCCACTGCTGTCACGCAGGGCACGGAGCAGGGCTTAGGGACAGAGCCCTTGTTTGGGATCCAGGCATCGCAAACGCAGGGAGCCCCCGGCAGCACCCATAGCCACCCCGTCCCTGTGCCACCCACCCGGGGCCGCAGTCACTTGCCGCCGACGGAGCGGTCGCCCGAAGAAATCGGTCTCAGGCTGTGAAAAGCAAAAAGCAGGTGAGTTTGGCTCTATCAGCGCCTGCATTTACTGCTCACATCTGGAGACAGCCAAAAGCAAACCGGGTTTCCCTCCAGCAGCTCGGTGCAAGGCTGGAGCCCCATGACACCACTCAGCTCTACTCAGTTTTAAGCTAAGTCAGGCCTAGATAGCTTCTAAGGCAGTTCAGAGGAGCCCCTCGCTGGGGGTCTTGCACGGGGCCATCACCCCACGCTCAGGGCTGCGCCAGCCCCTTCCCCCTTCAAGCACCCAGCGCAGGAGGAAGCCCCCGGAGCAAGAGCCAGATGCAAATTCTGCAAAAAGGGCCAACAGCCTCAGTAAAATGCAAACAGCATTCAAAATCGGGTTGGGAAGACAAACTTTAAGGCTCTTCATGCTAAAGCAGGGGTTTAGGGACAGCCAAGGTCTCAAAGCTGAGCCCATGGAGAGGGGCGGTGGCAGGGGACAACCTCCTGCTCCTCTTGGTTGCTATCGGGATGCCTGGGGTCGGACCAGCCCAGCTCACCTGCTGACATCCCCAAAGCCCCCCAAGCTGTGTGCGTACCTCCCCACCCTGCGAGCAGCTCTCCCACAGACCCCTTGGTTTCCACTTAGCCAAAATTCAGCTATTTGAGCTCAAACACCCACATCTCTTTCTTTCCCCACCCCTGAAAGCTTTGCGGGGCACGTCCATAATTGTCACCCAGATCTAATTCATCCCCACGCTATAAACCCAGCGATGCATTTACGGGACACGTGATGTCAAAGTATTCTATTAAAAGAAACTGTACTAAAAATAAATAAATACCAATGGAGACAGCCAGTCTCTAGCAGCTAAGGTACACGTAGACAGAAAATGAGGTAGAAATGGCAGCCCCCTCACCTTGTCCTCCACCGCCGCCCTCCGGATGATGTGCTCCAGGCGCTGCTGGTGGTTGGGGGGCACCGCCGGCCCCGTGTCCTCTCGCTCCTCTGCCTCGCCGAGGCCGTTCCTGGGCTCCTGTGGGGAAGAGAGCTCTGAGCGAGGGTTCCCTAGGAGCCAGCTGAGCTCAAGGTTTGGGCAGCCCCCCCGTGTGATGCACAGCCTGAGGGCAGGACAGTGCCAGGTCACCTGTCCCACACACCCCCTCTACTTGCTGCTGGGTTTGGTTACAATATCCAGACGACCTGGCAAGTACGTTTTCATCCTTTTCTGCCTCACAGCAGCAGGCAGGATCAGCCCCAGCAGCGCTTCGGGCACGGGGGTGTTTGCGGCCCCTTTCCCTGGGACTTCACGGTCAGCACTGTGTAAACAAGGGGCCTTCGGAGATGTTTTTGCAGATTCTCTTTGCCTCACACGTCTGCCGACAAAGCCCTTCTGCTGCAAGAAGGGGCTCTCAGGGATTAATTATCCCTGTGGCATCAGGGCAGAGCAGGCACCAACTACACCCAAGCTGTTTCTCAGTCTCCACATTTGCCCATTTCCACCTTCTCCTGCCTCCTGCCCGCTGCTCCACCGAGGGTATCGGTGGCGGGCAGAGTAACTCTGCTCCTCCCAGGGGCTCTGGGACCTTTGGGAGGATCAAAGTGAAGCAGCAAGGGAACGTGCAGGCAGGAGAGAGCAGGTCAGCTCCCCCATGGACACGTACAAATCACAGCCAGATGAACTAAAATTCCCATCTTGCCGCAACCTTCATTAGACAGCTGAAAGCTTTAAAGCTTTAAATCACAGTGAGCGTTTCTTTCCAGAATTCCTGCAAAAAGATGAGCCCTTTGGGCACATCAGCCCAGCACAGATGTGCTATCCCGAAGGCAGATGTGCAGGCAGACGGCTGCGACTGGGGGAGTTTAATCCTGGATTTTCATTTGCAGAGCGAAAGCCACTGGCTGCTTTGGAAAGACCACGTCCCCACACCAGCCCTAAGGACTTTATCCCTGTCGACAGACCCACCACCCCCTGAAACCACAGGACACCGTGAGCCCTTCCTACCTTGCCCAGGTTTCGTGCCTGCAGCAAAGCCTCTGTCCTCCTCATCTTCTCCAGCTCGATCTCCCTGGCGATGAGCTGCTTGGCCTGGTAGGTCAGCTGCCTGCGAGCCGGCAGGTCCGGGAACCGGCAGACATCCTCCACGTTCCTGCATCACAGAGCAGGGGAAGCAGAAAAAATAAATCAATACTGAAAATAAAAAAGCATTATGCAAACTGCAGCCTGACCTGGGCACAGGGAGACCCACCAGACTCCCAGCCCCGTCCCCCCCAGCCTCTCAGTATGATCCTGGCCACGGTGCCTCAGTTTCCCCATCGCTGCCCTCTCCGAGTCTGCGTGTGCGACGGCAGTGCTAGGAGATGCCCAGCGAGCAGTGCTGGCCGTGCGGAGCCAGGTTGCTGCAGGACATCTCAGCTAAATGGGAACTCAGGAGAGATTACGTGTTTTTTAATCTCGGTTTTAATGCAAGAAGAGGAAATTGCAGGTGGGTCTGTGCCGAACAGATTGCCCTGAAAGAAACACAGTCACATCACAGCCCAGGCACAAGCAGCACCACGACCCTTTGCATGAACCTTGATGTGCCTGCAGGGAGTCGTTTAATTAAGATATGGCCATGAACAGTAATTTTAGCTAATCAGAGCAGTTTTATTCTTAACAGAGTTGGTGCACCAGATCTGGAGTTAGGCCTGTTTCAGTACAGCAAAAGTGCAGTCCCAGCACCAAGAAGCCAGCTGGGCTGGTTCCCCTGCCAACTGTAAGTATTTCACTTGTAATTCACATTCGATATTATTCCCCTTAAAATAAAGGGAACAAAGTAATCTGTCCAATGGCTTTGCAGTCATTTAGAAATTAGCTGTCAAATCTGTGATTTAAAAAGTCTTAAAGAAAAAACACAGGTTTCAACTGTTGACTCTTTGCCAGAGAGATGCTGGGACGTGACTCACAGGTGCCACTGGGACGTGACACCCCCACAGTCCCCATCATCACTGCACATGGCCCAGAAATAGGCTCAGAATTCACAAAAAAAGCAAAGCAAAGCAACACAACAACACGCCTGCTTGCACCACATGGCTCCCAACATCCCATGGTTTCCCCACGGCCACGTTTAGGCGGCACAGCCCGGCGTGGGGAGGGCAGGGGAGGACGGCTCCCTACAGCCGCTGCAGCTCCCGCAGGCCTTTCCTCAGGAAAAAAAAAAAAAAATATAAACCACTTCACTGTAATTAGATACAGCTGCTTGATTTAACAGAGGCTAATTTTTGTAATTAACTTTGCACCAGGAAGACATTAGCATTGCTCCTAGCTGTGGTCGGGTCTGTATTACTTCACCAAAGCCTCAAGAGCATTTAGGGCTCTGTATATACTTAAAGCACAGTGAGATTCAAGTCCAGCAATGCTGGCTAGTAATACACAAATTCAGCAATTAAAACCAAGAGAGATCACTCATTATCTCATCCTGATGCACTCTCATCCAGCATGGGTGGTTGGGTACACTGGGCAAGTGTACGGGAACAAGGACATTGCTCACAGCACACCAGCAGCCCCTCCACAAGCTTTTCAACAAGAAGAACGTCTCCACACGTCGCTCTGCTTCACCACGGCAGGAGGCACCGGCCATAGCTCCAGCCTTGGCACGTGCCGGCCATGCCGCGCTGTGACCACCCCGCTCTGCCCTGGCCGGGTGAGCGGCAGTGCACGGAGGGGAGATGCTGCATCGCTCGTTGTTAACACGTGAGCCCGCAAAAACCCCTTGTGTCTGCAGTCCTGACTGCCCTGTCACTAACTGAAACCAGCCCTAAGGTTGGACAGATCCCCAGCATCTAACGCGCTACAGAAAGCCGACAGCAGAAGTCCTTGGAGAGCTTCTCGCTTTGCAAAGAGGGGCAACACAGCCCGGCTGCTCCCTTCCTCCCCTTCCTGCTTTCTCCTGACGAGGCACAAACCTGCCTCAGACAACATGCTCCAACTGTGGCTACAAACACTCCTGTGGTCACCTCCTGCGTGCAACACACCCGGACAGACCTGCTGCCCCTGCTGCTGCCACCAGCCCCCAGCAGCTTCAGTCCCTCCTCTGCTGTCTCTGCTAACAGGGAAAAGCCAGCCGCTTCCTTTCATTAATCCCATTAAAACAAAACCAGCCCTGCTTCAGGCTCCCAGGCTCCTCCTCTAATAAATAAGCAGATAATACCCACAGAGCCGTCCTCGGAGAAAGTGGGCTCCCTGCAACCGTCCCAGCAGCACACAGCTCGCACCAACCCAGCTGCATCACCAGAGAAACCTCTGGCTACAAGAAACCAACTCAACACCACGATGCCTTCAGGCTCAAACTCCTTCCTGAACTCTCTACAGTTATTTTGGATCTGTACATCTCCTCCCCGCCCTCAGGACTTACGGGTCGAGCTTGTAGACGTACTGGCCCTCGGGCAGGCGCTCCTGGTGGTAGGTGAGGTTGTAGGCCAGCATGGTGCTGATGAGGTCTGCCAGCTGCTGCTTCTCCTTCACGCTGTAGAGCTGCGTGTTCACCTGGGGAGGAGAGCGGAGCCCAGCAAGGGGAGAGCATCACTAATCCACAACGACTTCTAAACATAAAACCAACCTGAAGCACGAGGTTTGTCTCTATATGAGAACGGACAGTTAATACCCGCGAGGTTCAGACCAAGTTTAGTTTCCGATTAGGGAGACACGTACTTCGCAGAGAAGGGACAGACCGCTCTGATGGCCCGAAGGGTAAATGCACCCAACGCAACCGTGCGTGCAGGTGAACCAGCTGCTGGAAGGAGACTGCAACAGCCCCCCAAAACCGCTGCTCAGGCCAAGCCCACCCCCCGGTGCAGGGGTCCTGGAGGTGCAGGACACCCCCTGCACACCCAGCGTTGGGGATCTCAGCGCTGCATCCCCGGCTTCCCTCCGGCCTCTGCATCAGCTGCAATGTCAAACTGACCCTGAATTTGGGATGGAGGTCTGGGATAGCTCAGCCTGGGTGATGCAGTGTAGGGGACGTGTCCCAGCACTCACGGGGGGTTGCAGAGGGGACATGTCACCCGGGCAGGACTCTGGCCACCGCAGTGAGAGGGGGCTGGTGGGCACTCACCGGTCGGAGCTTCGGGGAGATGATGTCCAGCAGCAGACACAGCACCTCCAAGACAAGAGACTGCAGCCCCGCACGGCTGCGGGCGCTGGGCGTTATCCCTGACACCATGGACATGACGAGGTTCTGCATGTGGTTCAGCTTGGCCAGGGCCTGGGTGGAGAGGGCAGGGACGGCTCAGCCACAGCTGCAACCACAGGTGTCCCCACGGGGCTGGAGCCACATGGCCACCATGCCCTCCTTGGTACTTGCCTCATGCTGGCTGCTGGGATAAGCAAGCCGGGGGATGCTGGTGGCCGCGAAGAGCAGGTGGAAAGCCACGGGCAGGAAGGGCAGGTACCGCATCAGCTGGAAGCTCTGCCCGTGCAGGACAGCCCGGCTCAGCAAGTCAGAGAAGCCCAGCCACTCCAGGGCCAAGCACACCGAGCTGAAACTGGAGTCCCGCAGCTTCATGTTCAGGAAATTGTCGTACAGACCCTGGAAGCGGACGCAGGATTAGAGATGGCATGAGGCTGGGCAGACGGTCCCATCAGAGCATCCCCGTGAGCTCAGCTCCAGCACAACATCCTAACACTCCATCCAAAACTAGCACAATCCTACTGCAGGGAGGAATTTCCCGAGGCACCCACCAGCCACGACATCCCAGATCAGGAGCTGCCCTTGCTCCAGCCGGCGTGGCAGAGGAAGGGGCCCGGCTCTTCTCCCCCACCTCGGCTGCTCTACCTGGGCCAGCTTCTCCTGCTCCCCCGAGGAGATGGCGAGGTGCAGGATGTAGTGGAAGCGGTGGGAGGATGCGTTGAAGCCAGCCGTCCCCCCGAGGTGTGACAGGTCCTCATCACCCACCAGGAGCTGGGTTGGCAAAGCGGGGTCCATTCCTATCCTGTGCCTGGGGGGAGCCCAAAGGGAAGAGCTCAGGGTGCCCCTGAGCTGAACAGACCAGCAAGGAATATTTGGACCCTTGCAAACTGGACTGAAGACAATAGTGATGCCAATAATTAGGCACTAAAGAGAGCGGCCAAAGAGCATCTGGACACACAAATCCGCTGATGAAGCCCGGTCTGCTGCAGGGCAGACCAGCTCTCCAGGACCCTTCAGGTTTCCCCACTGCAGGTCTTGGGATACCACAAAGCTGCATACCCCAAGCAGAGAGCAGACCTAAGAAATCTCCCCCTTTTACCTTTGGACCTTTGGGAGCTGGAAGATCTCTTGCCAGATGGAGAACAACCCCTTGTTTTGGTCCTTCAAGCCAATCTTCATTGTCTGCACCATCTGCACGCTCAGCTCCTTCTGGCCTCGGCCGTGCAGGAACTGCAACACAAGCGAGGGGCTGGGGGGGACAGGCACTGCGGGGAGGGGGGG